CCAAATTTCCAAATTTCCAAATTCTCAAATTCTCAAATTCTCAAATTCCCAAATTTCCAAAGTTCCAAATTCCCAAATTCCCTACAACCTTCGGATCGACAAAATTTCAAATACTTAAGCTTAAAAATTTTAAACCTTCGAAATTTTAAGATTTAGAAATCCCCAAATTTCAGATAGATAGGAAATTAATAGATTTCCATATTTCTAAATTTCCAAATTTTCAAATAATCAAATTCCCAAATTCCCAAATTCCCAAATTCCCAAATTCCTAAATTTGCAAATTTCCAAAATTCCAAAATTCCAAAATTCCAAAATTCCAAAATTCCAAAATTCCAAATTCTCAAAATCTCAAAATCCCAAAATCCCAAAATCCCAAAATTCAAAATTCTAAAAATTCCAATTTCTCAAATCTCCAAATCCCCAAAAATCCAAAATTCCAAAATCCCAAAGTTTCAAAATTCCAAATTCTAAAAATCCCAATTTCCCAAATTTCCAAATTCTTAAATTCCCAAAATCTCAAAATCCCAAAATCCCAAATTAAATCCACTAATCCTCAACTTCCTAAAATTCCCCAAAATTTCCCAAAATCGCTAAATTAACCCTGAACCCAAATCTCCCTTAATCTCCCCAACAAAAACCTTGCTAAAATATTCAGTCAATCAACTTAATAACTTAATGACTTTAAATCGAGGCCGAAGTCGATGGTCACTCACCGTCGACGACCACCGCGTTGTCATCCTCCTGTTCTCTGTGTGTCTCATCGACCGACTGGAAGATCATCGATTTGCCCACGGGATCCTCACTGGTGCCCGCGATCGTCGGGATCACCGCGATTATCATGACAATCATCAGCACCATCGCGGGTGACTTGGTTCGTTGTTGTTTCATTGTTAGTCGGACAACGCGGGATGACAACGAGAAGAAGAAACACGCGACGAGGAGGAACACGAGTGTTTGGACCTCGTCGTTGTTACCAGCAGGGACCCAGGGACCGACACTAAGTTGCTAAGCTGCTGAATAGCCGGTGTCCGTGCTTATAACGGGCGAGTCCTCCCCTCTCGTTGGCCCGAGCTGTTCTTTGCCCCCAGCAGGTTCGAGTCACCGGGCTTCTGTTGTTCTTTTAGCGATGGAACTGCACCTGGGCACACGAGAGCAAGGGGCGGAGGGTGCATGAGACGGAGATGAGTTTTTGACGAATTAGCACGATTAGGGAGTGGGTTCAGCGCACTCTTGCTATATGGCCATTTTGGGGGTCAGGAAGAATTTGAAGAAGTCGCTGGTGAATTGAAGTTTTCAAATGATAATATTTGGAGGTTTGAAGTTTGAAATTTAAAAAAATTGAAAATTGGAAGTTTTTGACTTTGGATTTGAGAAGTGGGAATTTTTAAATTTGAAAATTTGTAGTCTTGATATTTCTAAATTTCAAAATTTGAAAATTTGTAGTCTTGAAATTTCTGAGGTTCCAAATTTGAAAATTTGTAGTCTTGAAATTTCTGAGGTTCCAAATTTGAAAATTTATAATCTTGAAATTTCTAAATTTCCAAATTTGAAAATTTGTAATCTTGAAATTTCGAAATTTCTAAATTTGAAAATTTATAGCTTTGAAATTTCTAAACTTCCAAATTTGAAAATTTATAATCTTGAAATTTCTATATTTCCAAACTTGAAAATTTGTAATCTTAAAATTTCTAAATTTGAAAATTTATAGCTTTGAAATTTCTAAACTTCCAAATTTGAAAATTTGTAATCTTGAAATTTCTAAATTTCCAAATTTGAAAATTTGAAAATTTGTAATCTTGAAATTTCTAAATTTAAAAATTTATAACCCTGCAAAAGAGTAATTTTCATGAAACCATAAGGTATAATTTAATTTGCCATAAGTGATATTTTACGGTACTTTAACATCACGGAACTGTGTCGCAGTATTTTTCAAAATAGCTAAATGATATGCAATAGCTTGATAGCACTGTTTATAATCTCATACAATTATAAGATTGAATAGCCTCTAGTGATATACGATATGAAACGAGTTTAAAAGTTATTTGATTAATGATTGTAAAAGAAGACCTCATTTCGATGTTTTTTAAGTCGAATTCTTAATCTTTTGATTTTATCTAATGTTTCTCGTTCGATAACGGGTTATTATACTGTTTAGATGATATGAATCAGGAATATATTATAATAAGACAAAAAATAATACGTTGTAGAGGAATGGTCATTGGTGTAACTAAATAGGGGTCAAAGTGATCTTAATAATTTAGTAAAACTTTATTTTTATGAAAATAAATAATTGATTTTGAACCCGAAACCCAAATCCCTACGCTCTCAAATCACAAATCTTCCAAATTTTCACGCTCCCAAATCCCCACGCTCCCAAATCCCTACGTTCCCAAATTTCCACACTCCCAAATCCCCACGCTCCCAAATCTCAACGCTCCCAAATCCCCACGCTCCCAAATTTCCACGCTCCCAAATCCCCACGCTCCCAAATCCCTACGCTCCCAAATTCCCACGCTTCCAAATCCCTACGCTCCCAAATTTTCACGCTCCCAAATTTCCACGCCCCCAAATTCCAAATCTCCCAAATCCCCACGCTCCCAAATCTCAAATCTCCCAAATCCCCACGCTTCCAAATCTCCACGCTCCCAAATCCCAAATCTCCCAAATTTTTACGCTCCCATATCCCAAATCTCCCAAATTTCCACGCTCCCAAATCCCAAATCTCCCGAATCCCAAATCTCCCGAATTCCAAATCTCCCAAATCCCAAATCTCCCGAATCCCAAATCGCCCAAATCCCAAATCTCCCAAATCCCAACTCCTCCAAATCCCAAATCTTCCAAATCCCAACTGCTCCAAATCCCAACTCCTCCAAATCCCATCTCCTCCAAATCCCATCTCCTCCAAATCCCATCTCTTCCAAATCCCAGCTCCTCCAAATCCCAACTCGTCCAAATCCCATCTCCTCCAAATTCCCAATCTCCCAAACTCCTAAACTCCCAAACCCCCAAACTCCCAAACCCCTAAACCCAACTCCTCCATCATCACCCCCCTGCAAAACCCACCCACTCTAACCCACTCCTTCCTAACCAAACACCCAATCATCCCATCCCACAACGCAACGTTCACAAACACCCTAGACAAAAATCCCCCATAGTTACGCCAATGACTAAAGACGAAAAGATGTCGCGTCTCTCTGATTATGTAAGTCGATTGACGGAACCGGCTCAACTATGATTTGTCGCGCGAAACCGCTCCGTCGAACATGAATATATCTTTGTGTCCCATGATCATTTGCATAGAGAGTAGGATTCCCGCGTTGGCCTTGAAGAGGCCGAGTAGAAGGCTGCACGTAAGGGACGGCCGTGAACTTGCCATGTGTTCCTCGTGCAACATCGCGGATGCCAACGTACGAGCGTGCATTTCCTTCTTTATCCACGATGAATGGAATTTCTTCGGATCGGTCGTGTATCGTGTACATAATATCGGTCACATACTTTTCTCTTATTGCTTTCCACTTTCTCGGCTGAACTTTGATAGCTTCGTTTTGCGTGTCGTTCTTTCTACTTCAATCTTTATTAGCACTTTTCATTTTTTATTTTAAATTTCGTTTGGTTGGGGAGATTTCAAATTTACAGATGGTATATGCATATAGGGATTTTGAGGTTATGGTTCTTTAGTGATATTGCGATCTAGGGATATTGTATTCAGGAGATATGGTTTTCTAGGCATATTGGAATTCAGAAATATTGTGATTTAGGGATATTTGGCTCTAGAGATGTTTGGACCTAGGGATATTGGAATTTAGAGGTATTTGGATCTAGGGATATTGAGCTATATTAATGTTGGAATCTAGGGATGTTACAATTTAGGGGTATTGGGATCTAGGGAGATTGGGACATAGGGAGATTGGGACATAGGGAGATTGAGATATAGGGAGATTGGGACATAGGGAGATTGGGACGTAGGGATATTGGGATCTAGGGAGATTGGGACATTGGGAGATTGGGACATTGGGAGATTGGGACATTGGGAGATTGGGATCTAGGGAGATTGGGACACAAGGAGATTGGAATCTAGGGAGATTGGGACGTAGGGAGATTGGGATATTGGGAGATTGGGACATTGGGAGATTGGGATCTAGGGAGATTGGGACACAAGGAGATTGGGATCTAGGGAGATTGGGGCATAGGGAGATTGGGACATAGGGAGATTGGGACGTAGGGATATTGGGATCTAGGGAGATTGGGACATTGGGAGATTGGGATCTAGGGAGATTGGGACACAAGGAGATTGGAATCTAGGGAGATTGGGATATAGGGAAATTTGGATCTACGGAGATTGGGACATGAGGAGATTGGGATCTAGGGAGATTGGGATATAGGGAAATTTGGATCTAGGGAGATTGGGACATAAGGAGATTGGGACATAGGGAGATTGGGACATAAGGAGATTGGGATCTAGGGATATTGGGACCTAGGAAGATTTGGACATCTAAGGATATTGGAGCCTAGGCAGTTTTCAATTTTTGGGCTGTTGGTATCTAGGGATATTTGTGTGTAGGGATTCTTGGACCTAGATTTTTGAATCTAGGTACATTTTGATCTAGGAATATTGAAATGTAGGGATATTGAGATTACGATTTGACATTGCAATCTAGGGATGTTAAAATTTAGTAACTAAAATCTAAAATGTTAAATTTGTAATTGATTTTAGTACCATTACATCTTCACAAATCATTTGGACAAAGTAAAAAAGTGAAATCTCCGTAATTTTCTATACATACAATTATATTCCTTTCACTATAAATCAGTAACAATTCAATAAAAGTGTTAATAGCGTATAATAGCAGGAAACAGATTTGTAAGAATTTGAAATGGTAATGTACATTAGGCGGCCCGAAGGATTTCGTAGAAAGGAACATGTATAGTAGCGACAGTTCGATATGATATCGATCGAAGACTAATGGATAGACTAATGGTACCATCGGTCCCGAGATTTATTAAATATCGCAAATGTTTTTTAACGATATAGGAGCCACGATGAACGGTTCACTGGCACAGATTATTAATAGCCCGTTCGGGGAAAGGACGAGAACACCGGCGAAAAAGAAGAAAGAAGGAAAGTTCGCCTTGTTTTCTCCCCTCGCCCTTTAAGGAACAGTTCAGTGAACCATGGAATGTGAAGTTTATATCCATCTCAAGGACTGGCACTACCTTCTTTCGCTCTTTTTTCGACGAACACTGCCCTGATACTGTGTTTTCGTGAAAAAGACCCGTCTGACCATCCTTCGGGCTCACCGGCCCAATCTAATCGCGAAATTTCTATAAATAGACCTCGATTTAATTCTCGATCGATTCTGACCGTTTTAGAATGCTGGACATTCTTTTTATGTTATTTTGCGTAAGAGAATGGTAGCCATTTTGTCATAATAAAAGAATCGTAGCCATTTTGTTATGATAAAAGAATGGCAGCCATTTTGTTATCATTTTTATTTTGATAATATTTCGTACTGGAAATTAATATGAGATGTTTCTTCTGATTAAATAAGTGACATATGATTTTTTTAAATTAATATACTTCACATAAAGTATAAGAATCTATTTAAAATTATGGGTATTACTCTCGCGATATAGGGAGATTGGGATCTAGGGAGATTGGGATCGAGGGAGATTGGGATGTAGGGAGATGGGAATCTAGGGAGGTTGGGATTTATAGAAATTTTGGGATTTAGGGAGATTGGGATCTAGGGAGATTGGGATCTAAGGAGATTGGAATTTAGAGAGATTGGGATCTAGGGTGATTGGGATTTAGGGAGATTGGGATATAGGGAGATTGGAATTTAGAGAGATTGGAAAAGAATCGTAGCCATTTTGTTATGATAAAAGAATGGCAGCCATTTTGTTATCATTTTTATTTTGATAATATTTCGTACTGGAAATTAATATGAGATGTTTCTTCTGATTAAATAAGTGACATATGATTTTTTTAAATTAATATACTTCACATAAAGTATAAGAATCTATTTAAAATTATGGGTATTACTCTCGGGATCTAGGGTGATTGGGATTTAGGGAGATTGGGATATAGGGAGATTAGAATTTAGAGAGATTGGAATCTAGGACGATTGGGATGTAGGGAGATTGGGATCTAGGGAGATTGGGATCTAGGAAGATTGGAATCTAGGGAGATTGGGATTTGGGAAAGTTGGGATTTAGGGAGATTGGGATCTAGGGAGATTGGGATGTAGGGAGATTGGGATCTAGGGAGATTGGGATCTAGGAGGATTGGAAT